ATCAATGGAGGTCTTTAGGAAGAGTCCTCTTCTGACCTCGGCTTCCCCAAAAAGCAGGAGGCAGAGTTCTGGTCCCCACAAGACCCCTTTTATTAAAGGAATGTGAATCCCTCCCCTTCACCTTCAGCCAAGGCCTGGCAAACAGCCTTTCAAAGGAATATTTATGACCACAGACCTTATCTATCCTGGAAAGCTGCCAGGTAAATATTTTCCCAACTGAGGTGCAGTGCAAGGAAAGGCTGGGCACAGAGTCTCTGAGATTCAAGGACAGATCTTCACACTCCTGAAATTAATCTAACGACCAATTGAACAAACAGTTTCCTGCAAAAGCCCCCTCCCCTTTTGCTTCTCTTTTATTTCCTCTGGGAGGGGCCAATCACCTTCCACCTGTGGCCTTACTCCCAAGTCGACCCTGATTTCTCAGCTGTTCTTTTCTTCTGGCCGCTCTGGGCATGTGCACACTGGGAAGAGGCTCCAGCTGTTCCTCTGCCTCAGGGCTGCCTATCTCCATAAGCACCTGATCACTGCCGGATAGGCTCGGCCCCCTCTCTGCCTCCGATGCAGAGCCCTCATCATCCGAGCCTTCCCCAGCCTCCAGGACTGGCCCATCTTCCTCCCCAACCTCCTCACTGTCCGACTCTACTGCCAGCTCCGCTGTCTGCTGGCGGATCACAACACTTTTCTTCCAGACGTTTCATGACCCAACTAAGTAATGTCATCAGTGCTAGAAGGGAGAGAGAGCAAATCCCATTCCCTTCTAGCACTGATGATGTTACCTAGTTGGGTTATGAAACGTCTGGAAGAAAACAACCAAGCTCAGAGAGCACCAAGGACCCCACAGTCCTACTCTTTCCCCTCCCCTCTCTTCTAGCACTGATGATGTTACCTAGTTGGGTCAGAAAACTACCTGTGGAGAGGTCAGGAGACGGAGACAGGAGAAGAAACAGGCTGTGGTTAAGATTAATACAGGCAGTCCTTGAATTTCTTTAGTGACCAAAATTACAGCAGCCCTGAAAAAAACCCTGACTTACGGCCATTTTTCATACTTATGAGCATCGCAGGATCCCTGTGGTCCTCTGATCAAAATTCAGATGCTTGGCAACGGACTCATATTTACAACGGTTGCCCAGGGTCACGTGATCCACTCTTGTGAGCTTCTTGACAAGCAGTCAATGAGGAAGGAAGATTCACTTAACAATTGTATTGCCAACTTAACCGCTGAAGTGATTCACTTAACAACCATGGCAAGAAAAGTCGTAAAATGGGGCAAAACTCAACAACCGACTTGCTTAACGATGGACATTTTGGGCTCCGTGGCGGTTGTAGGTCAAGGACTTACAGTAGTCACCCTCAGCACCTTAAGCAGCGTGGTGGATGGAAGGGGGTGGAGAAAGAGGGACTGAGAAACGTCGAGTACCAGGCTTCCCAGGACCTCCGTGGCCAGCTGGATCTCCTCCTGGGTGGACCGCAGGGTGGAGGATACGTCGGAAAGGAGCCCGCACACTTTGGCAGCCCGCTGACCGTCACAAGCGATGGTTCTGCTGGCGTTGCTCAGCCGATGGCCGGCATTCTCCAACGAGCCCTTCAGATCCGTCATCTTCTCCAAGAAGGCAGCTTTGGCACCTGGAACCAAGACTACGTCATTCAGGTATTGTGGCCTGACAGCGGCCCTGGCAGCGGTGTTGGGCAGTGAGGACTCTGGGGAAGGTTCGGACAAGGGCTCTGCATCAGAGGCAGAGAGGGGGCCGAGGCCGTCTGGCAGTTCTCAGCTGCCTTCGGAGCTAGACAGCAGTGAGGCAGAGGAACAGCTGGAGCCT